CCAAACTTTGTGTGGCCTTCAGATTAGCATAACAACAGTTCATAGAGAGCTTCATGGAATGGGTTTCCATGGCCGAGCAGCTGCATCCAAGCCTTATATCACCAAGTGCAATGAAATACGTCGGATGCAGGGGTGTAAAGCATGCTGCCACTGTACTCTAGAGCAGTGGAGACATGTGAATCATGCTTATCTGTTTGGCAGTCCAATGGATGTGTCTGGGTTTGGCAGTTGCCAGGAGAACAGTACTTGCCTGACTGCATTGTGCCAAGAGTACAGTTTGGGGGAGAAAGGATTATGGTGTGGGAATGTTTTTCAGGGGTTGGGCCTGGCCCCTTAGTTCTAGTAAAGGGAACTCCTAAGGTATCAGCATACCCAGACATTTTGGACAATTTTATGCTCCCAACTTTGTGGGAACAGTTTGGGGATTGCCCCTTCCAGTCCAACATATCCGCGCACCAGTGCACAAAACAAGGTCCATAAAGACATGGGTGAGCGAATTTGAGGTGGAGGAACTTTATTGGCCTGCACAGAGTCCTGATCTCAACCCAATAGAATACTTTTGGGATGACTTAGAATGGAGACTGCGAGCCAGGCATTCTTGTCCAACATCAATGACTGACCTCACAAATGCGCTTCTGGAAGGATGGTCAAACATTACCATAGAGACAATCCTAAACCATGTGGACAGCCTTTCCAGAAGAGCTGAAGCTGTTATAGCTGCAAAGTATGGGTCAACTCAATATTGAACCTTATGGACTAAGATTGGGATGCAATTAAAGTTAAAGTGTGTGTAAAGGCAGGCGTCCCAATACTTTTGGCAATATAGTGCATATCATTATGTTTGGATACAATTCACATTCTATGTATATACTATTGAACATACACAATGGGGGAATTTATCAAACAGTAGCAGACATGATCTGGGGCAGATGTGCATGGCAATCAATCAGTTTCTATTTTCAGCTTGTTCAGTTAAGCTTTGAAAATAAAAGACAGTATCTGATTGGGTGCTATGCACATCTACTCCATTTTCTGGCTGCTCCAGTTTTCCTAAATTCCTCTAAATGTATATGTCAAAGCTTTATCTTGTGTCATGTACACCGCTTTGCAAAGTTACCCCAAAAGATAACCTATGCCTATTAACACATTTAAATCCAGTCCCCAGATGTATATTAGACACTGACCTTATAATGATGGATACTTACTAAGGTAAAACTTAGAGGAATGTGCTGTAAAACTCTAGCTGGCCACTGGATAGGCTGGAATAGGGGAGAGAATGCTACCCACATCTTTGTGCATTTATTCCCCACCACTCTTGCAACCAATGACTTCAATTTCTGGGTAGGCAAGAGCCAGTGGCAGTATTCCAAAGTGATGCCATGCTCCAACTTGGATAGCAGATTAACATCACCCCACACAGTAACAGAATGTTACAAAGCCTTCAGCTGTCTACTCAAGGCATATATTTCCATTTCAGGCCTCTTTACAATTATACATGAATCTGTATTCAGATTTAAGCTTTTAGCATTTGATATGGTTAAAATGGTATTCCAGGAGTGGTGGCAGGAGCTAGTAATGGTGGCAGGCCAGAAGAGGTGCATGGCATTTTTTATTATTATTATTAAGTATTTTTTAAAGTTTTTTTCTTACATTTTTTCAACTTTATTGCTATCACAAGGGATGAAAAACATATCAGATCTATTTGATTGTCTACCTCCCTGGCCGTTATCAGCCAGGTAAACAAAGAACCAGAAGTGAAGATATCCCTGTCACTTCTGGCTTCATTTGTCACAGAGGAGGGGGAAGAATGAATGTTCCTCCTTCTCCTCTGTGCTAAGTTGACCCAACTGCTTGCAATGGTCCCAGGCTCCATGAGGGGCAATGACAGCCTGAATATTTCAGTGGGCAGTGGCGGGAGTGATCCCCTTTCAAGCCCTATAAAAGAGATTGGGTGGTTATAGAGCCACTGGGATCACTTTCACAGTAAAGTCGATTACTGGCTACAATTTCTGATACCTTTTTATACCTGTACATCCAGGGCTTTTCCAAGAAGTATATATATGTACACTGGATGGGAGGAGTCACTGACATGGTGAAAAGAACCTGAGCTTTCCAGATACTGTCCTCACACCAGCATTTTTTTTTCACCATTGAATATGTTCTGGGGTATTTTGGGGAGATAAAATTCTAAGGAGTCGAAATTGCATCATTCCAAGCAACCAGGAAGTTTACAGTGTTCTGTTAACCAGATTCTACCTCGTAATCCCCACCCTCACCCTCATGATTTCCACCCTCTGCATCACCTGGCAGTAAACTGCAGCTAAAGGAACATCACTGGCAATTGCTGATCCCTACCTGGAGTCCCCTCCAGCTATGTTCTTGGCACTCTTCCTGAACACTGGAAAATAGGATTTCTTGCACATCCTCCTTCAGCAAGTGAGTGATGTTATACTAAAACATTTCCACCTCCATGCCAGTTTAAACAGAAAGGTTTCATGAGCCACTCAGCTATCTCTTCCTCATATATTGGTTATATAGTATGAACACTGCCAGAAAAATAGTAGGCATTCCCTACCTCTTGATGCTGTGGCTTGACCACCAATTTACCTGCTTGCCCCTACTACCTCCATGTGCATAACCTCCGGCTCTCTCTATAGGGCTGCCTGAGATTGTGACTATAGGGGATTTTCTAGGTTTAACGATAGCTCGGGATAGCTAGCTAAAGGAAATAAAAATTTGGTACTTTGGTGCAGTAATGATGGGGTTGTTTGGGTCACAAAACTTTACTGCATATTTGTAATGTGCTTCAAACAAATGGCAGTTGTGTTGTGTTCATCACAATTTCATGATGTTGATCCCCAAATAAAAAAAAAGACTCTAGCTCTTTCATCATTTCCTCTTATGCTCACCTCCAGGATTTATCCAGTGCCTCTCCCTTTCTCTGGAACCTCCTACCCCAAGCTGTCTGACTATTTCTTCAGGGATGCTTATCCTGTCTTTAATTTAAAAAAATACTTTTAGTTTCCCCATCAGCTCATCCTTCTCAATTATTACCTTTATGATTCTAAGCTGCCATGCCCTCCTCACCCTCATGTATTGAATTTCATTGTAACTGTACAATCTCCCCTATTTTTGTAAATTGCTGTATAAACCATTGCTAACATGAATGTACTGTATGTAGCTTTTTTCAGTCTAATTAGTACAACAGCAACTCATCAAAAAACATTACAATAACTGGCAATGCAAAGGAGGATCTGATTGCACAGAAAAAAATTTTCCATGTCATTTCTTTCCAAACATTGGCCACTGCATTAAACAAGAACAGTACCTTTTCTGGATGCTTCAAAGCTGTCATAGAGGTTTATTCTTTGAGTATCATATGTTAAAGTTGTATTTGGAAGTAAAGTTCTGTTTCTGTTAATTGTATTCACTGCAAATCTGAAGGCTAGTTCTTCTGCTCCAAATGGTCCAGACTCTACATATTCAAAAATCCCCCCTAAAATGAAAAAAAAAAAAAGATTAGGCAACTTGCAAATTAAGGTCATACATAGCAACATACAAAAATCTTGGTGGGTATTACAAATATTGCTTTGTTCAGAACTTGAACTCATTCCAAACAATCACTGAGATCTGTGAACCATCTACAGATTAGTCTCTCAGGTTTTTGCAGTCAGTAAAAACACCAAGGAATAATATAATGATAGATTTCTTAAGAAATAGTGGGCTACATTTTATATTGAACATATATCATTTCTAACTGTCAGTTGTTAAGATTGAACAAACATTAAAAAAAATAATTAATTTCCATTCCCAGGATTCATTGTGTTTTGATTTTCTGGTATTCAAATATTTATAGACACATAACATACATGACAGGATAAATTTTAATTAGTTTTTTTACATGCTGTCTTTTTACTCATATTATGTTTACTTTTGCCTCATCTCAAAAAAGTCAATTGATTCAAAATGAAGTATATATGTAATAAGTTCTGATCCTTTGAGACACTGGGGTTGATTTACTAACAGGGTTCAGGTTATTCAGTTAGCAAAGTGAACTGTCACTGTCAATCTTCCAATCATTTCCAGCAACAATCATTTTTTTTTTTCATTAGCATGTGATTGAGCACCACATTCACTAAGTGATGGAAACTTTCCTTGCACAGTCATGCAGTACTATATTGACTGGCCTCATGCTGAAAACCTACAAACTTTTGTATAACAATGTAAACCAATTTTTAAATAGAATACACACACATACTACATTGCCAAAACTATTGGGATGCCTGCATTTACATAAACTTTATTGGCATCCCAGTCTTAGTCTGTAGGGTTCGATATTGAGTTTGCCCGCCCTTTGCAGCTATTACAGCGTCAACTCTTCTGGGAAGGCTGTCCACAATGTTTAGGAGTGTGTCTATGGGAATGTTTGACCATTCTTCCAGAAGCGCATCTGTGAGGTCAGGCACTGATGTCGGATGAGAAGGCCTGGCTTGCAGTCTCCGAACTAATTCATTCCAAAGGTGTTCTATCAGGTTGAGCTCAGGACTCTGTGCAGGCCAGTCAAGTTCCTCCACTCTAAACTCACTCATCCATATTTTTAGGGAACTTTCTTTGTGCACTGATACACAGTCATGTTGGAACAGGAAGGGGCCATCTGCAAACTGTTCCCACAAAGTTGGGATCATGAAATTGTCCAAAATTTCTGGGTATGCTGACACTTTAAGAGTTCCCTTCACTGGAACTAAGGGGCCGAGCCCAACCCCTGAAAAATATCCCGGCACCATAATCCCCCCTCCACCAAACTTTACACTTGCCACAATGCAGTCAGGCAAGTACCGTTCTCCTGGCAACTGCCAAACCCAGATATATCCATCAGATTGCCAGACAGAGACGTATGATTCTTCACTCCAGAGGACAGGTCTCCACTGCTCTAGAGTCCACTGGCGGTGTGCTTAACACCACTGCATCCGACGCTTTGCATTGCACTTGGTGATGTAAGGCTTGGATGCAGCTGCTCGGCCATGGAAACCCATTCCATGAAGCTCTATGCATTGTTGTTGTGCTAGCCTGAAGGCCACATGAAGTTTGAAGGTCTTTATTGAATTTGCTGACAGCTGGCAACTTCTGCGCACTCTGCACTTCAGTGTGCGCTGACCCCACTCTGTAATTTTACGTAGCCTACCACTTTTGTTGCTGTTGTTTCCAGTTGCTTCCACTTTGTTATGATACTACTAACAGCTGACTGTGGAATATTTAGTAGCAAGGAAATTTCATGGATGAACTTGTTGCACAGGTGGCAACCTATCACGGTACCATGCTTGAATTCACTGAGCTCCTGAGAGTGATCCATTCTTTCACAAATGTTTGTAGAAGAAGTCTGCATAGCCAGGTGCTTGATTTTATACACCTGTGGCCATGGAGGTGATTGGAACACCTGAATGCAATGATTTGGAGGGGTGTCCCAACACTTTTGGCAATATAGTGTGTGTATGTGTATATATATATATATATATATATATATATATATATAAAATATATACTGTATAAACATATGCATATTTGTAGTAATTATTATTACACTGGCCTTACAACCTGTAAACATTTCAAACACCAACACAGCTCAAAGGGAAATAAACGTAAAGTTTTAATAAAGGTTTTTTAAGCACTTTCAGCAACAAATGTATTCAGTTACTGAGTATGCAGCTTCTTTTTCTTTTAATCCTTGCCTAAGGTCCAGTTTAAGCTGGTGCCATGACCTCTGCCCAGGTTTCCTGTTTCAGGATGGTCCCTGTAACTTTCAGCATCACATGGAGTTACCCTTGCATGCATTGACTAGAGTTATGTATTCCTACACTGTGTGCATCAATAGAAGCATACAGTCCTGTAGCCTAGGATGGCAAATTCCTCCCCTGCTCCTCCCTACTCCCCTCCCCCTTCTCCAAGCTTGGACAACAGACTTGCTGGAGACTGCAGTGTCTACTGTTATCTCTGTCATGTGAAGAATGGAAGTTCCAGGAAGCAACACTAAGAGAGTAGGAGCCAGCAGCTTTGAAAGTTATAAACAGCAAGCGCTGGGGTAAGATTTTTTAACATACAATTAACTAGAGAATTGTTGTTTTATTGTGTTGACTGGGTTGAGTTAAAAAATGCTGAAGTTTTAATACTACTTTAAGCTTACATTTTGGAAGCCCAGTTTAAATGATAACAGCATAAGGTGAACAGTAAACCAGACATCCCAATTATCATAGAGCGTTTTCCTAAAATTGGCAACTTGCAGACTAACTGAAAATAGTTTTAAAAAAAAAGAAATCTCAGTAATAGCATGAGAATTATCTTTAGACTTAGATTACTATAAGTCATTTTTACATTCAGATACATTAGCAAACTATTCATCCATTTATTTCATTATTGTATTAATGGTATATCATTATGAAGGTGATGACATGGTGGCTACCAGAAAGTGTAATGCTATTGTGATAAAAGACATTTGTGATTATTACTAATCTGCCTAACAAAATCTTTGGTATCAATACTAAATTATGTTAACCACAGGAGGTAAGTACATATCATATTTATGGAATTAGTGGGATATTATTCACTGCTTTGTAAAAGAAGATTTTTTTGTGACTGTTACTGTAAGATAAAGAACAAGAAAATAATATGACACAGAATGCAGTCTCCTGCTGTGAAACACACGCTAGCTCTATTGTTGCCAAAAAGCTACATCTGAAATTGTAATTATAGAAAGACTTCATTATTTACCATATTTATTAAAGATCAAATTTCCATTGAAACAGACAAACTTTCTGATATATGAAGTTTGAAATGAGCTGAACTCTTTCTTTTTTAACGTCTTCCAAATACTTACAAAGTATTTCCTTCTGGTAATATATTATGGCAACGGATTGTTTACAACATGAATCTGCATTAATGTTATATAAAGTTAATTTATGAGATAGATAAAATCAATAAGAACTCAAGACTGAAATTGTGAAACCATTTACAGGGAATTAATGTTTGTATGTATAAACTACTGAAACAGTGTTAATGCCCTTGCATTAAACATTTTTTCTTTACAAAAGCACATTTTATAAAAGGCTATAGGACATATCTTCATTGAAAATTAACTTTCTGAAGTTTCTAATAGTTCATATCCTTTCTATTTATAAAAGTTTAATGGGAAAGCTGTTTAAAGGAGGTTGATGAAACATAGCAAATCTTTAACATACACTATAAAAAATCATTGCAGTAAGGGCGTGGCTTGGCAATGCATGGAAATGGCCACTTGAATTTGGAGCTCCATGGCTTAGATTGAATACAGCCGGTACTCCTCCATTTCCTGGCAAACATGGGCAAGATCGAACTACCAGTCTACTCTACCAAGACCCCCCAATCGCAGATGGGTCAGAACTTGCCCAAAATCTTTTGGTCCCAGCCACCCAAGACGCCAGAGGACTCTCGGCCTAGTTCTTCTCCCACTATGTCCTCCTGTAAGGCATCGGAACACTCACCGAAGGCTAAAGGCAGGATTGACTCAGACACGGTGCTCTCTCTAATTCAGCAGATGTTGTATTTACAAATCCATTGCTGCCGACATCAAGAATGCCTTATCAGATGTAGTTTCAGATTTGAAAGAGGAGCTTCGGGGAGTTTTGAGGTGGTATCATTTGGAGGTAGTAGAAGACACAGTAACCCACCATGATGCAGACATGCTGGAAGTCAGAGAGGACTCACTGAGGCACTCTATACACCTTATGGAATATAGCCTTCATGTAGCCTTTTTCTTCTGCACGCCTTTATTACACGTTTTCACCTCATTTGAACCATACTCTATGTGTGACCTTGGTCTCCTCTATCCTTTTTATTGATCTGTACACCTGTTGCTGAGCCTCATGGGAAACTTTAGGGCAGTGGAGTACTATTTTTGAATGGAGATGAATGAGTTGACATTGGAGACGCGTTTGCTCATTTGTTCTATTCTATTTTACTGTCATGGGCTTACAGCAGTCTACCTTTTCTTCTTTAAGTCTATGAGACCTGAGAGGTGTGCACCTAGGAGAAAGGCATACATAGTCGACTGAAAAGCTGGTAGGAAGATACGTACTCCGCTGCAGACCATTCCCTAATGCTGCCAGGCCCCGGTCAGACGCAGACTCCTTATTACACTTTGCTAGATTTGCCTCATGTTATATAATGTGGATTTTTATAGACAATGGAGAGATATTTCCAATATCTTATACACCTATAGGCTGACCTCCCTCTATAGCCCATGGTAGCTGTCTCCTGACATGCATGCCTACCCATTCCCTACACAGCTTGGCTTATATTGCAGGCTGATACATATTTCAGCTTTGCGTCATGGGAGAGTAGTTTGATACTCTAACCCACCCGATTTATGTTCCTCCTCCGTCTCTTTTCTTTCCTCCCTTGTCTTCTTTCTATTTCTTTTGAAACTCTAACTCTTCGACCTGCTTGCATGTTGAGTTTTCCTTTTTATTTGCCCTTACTCTTTTTTTTACTCTCACCCCCTCTTCTACCCCCCCCTTTTTTTTTCTCTTTGTTTGTTTGTGTGTGTGTTCAGGGGGATGAAATGACTGACACATTTGGCTGAGGGTATTCTATTGACCACATTTCCCCCTTTTGGATATGGAGTACTGTGCTATTTTTGTTAGTATGCCTCCCAAAAGGAGGAGAGCACCTCCCCCAGGTATGAAGTTCTGTTCACTGAATGCTAGGGGCCTTAATAATAAAAAGGTCCTTGGCCCTCCAAGAACTCCACAGGCATCATGTACACATAGCATTTATTCATAAGATGCACTTTGAGCAATCCATTGTTCCGAAAACTGACCAACAGTAGGTTTCCCACAACATATTACGCCTCTAACCCCTCATCCAAGAAGAGGGGAGTTGCTATTCTCTTTGCAAAGAATGTCAAATTTCAACTTGAAGACTGCTATTGCTTAAAGGCAAACTGGAGAATGTACCAGTTACCCTGGCAAATATATATAGCCCCAATGAGAAGCACGCTGCTTTCTTTCAGACTGTAGAGAATGAATTAGCCTCTTTTGTCTCTCGAATGTTTATCTTAGGCACAGATTTGAATCTCCCTCTAAACCTCTTGCTGGATTCTTCCAATGGCGCAACTTTCATTTCTTATAAAGCTCTCTAGGCTATATAGTTGTAACTCTCATCACTCCTTCTTCATGATACCTGGCAGTTTCTACACCCAAAGGATAAATACTTCACTTACTTTTCCCCACCCCATCAAAAGTATTCTAGACAATTTGTTTATTTCACAAACAGATTGCCTTCAGATGGCTTCAATTGAATCCTTTGCCTCCTCGGATTATAACCCTATCATGCTGACCCTTGTGCTTTCAGATTAGAGACCCAGCCACAAAACCTGGAGGTTCAATCCCTCCCTGCTTAGGGATTTACTCACAAAACAAGCACTCCACGCAGAATTACAAGATTACTTTTGCAATAATGATAATGCAGAGGTCTCCCCTCTCACGCTGTGGGAAGCTCATAAAAGCGTAATTTGGGGCAAATTTATTTCCCTAGCATCTAAACTTAAGAAAGAGAGGCAGGCACATGTTTCTTCTCTACTTAAACAAATTAATGAAGCTGTGCATAGCTCAGTCTCTTCCTTAACTGAACTTACCTTGGCCAACAAATCAGGTAAACTCTTGGCCAAAATGACGCAGGAAAAAAGGGCATAACTCACAATCCATACAATTTATAAAACATTGGAGGACAGACATTCCAGAAAACAGAATATAGCTCACCAATTCCTTACATACTAGCAGACACGCTATAACGTGAGACCCACCTGTGAGTGAAAAGGTCCTCCATTTCACATGTACCATTTTGTTGTTTGTACAATAAAACCTTTATGAAACTAAAAAAATCATTACAGTAGGGATGAGCAAATTTATTCACACATAAGGAAAACTGGCAAATCACAAACTTTTTTCATTTAGTACTGTATAAACATTAAGGGTTAACTTAGGGAAAAAGTAGAAAATTTTTACATTGCAAAATTTAGTTTTACTTAACATAAAAAATAAGGTTAAAGGATAAGTTCACCTTTTGGACAACAATAATAATTCTAATTTTTTTTGCATGTAAAAAATGAGCATTTATTATTATATGTTGTCCAAAGGAGCCTGGAAAACATTGCACCAGCGATCAGTAGATCTCTGATGCCATGCGGATCTCCTGCAGACCTATGAGAATATCTGCTTGCCGTAAGGGATGTATAGTCTCCAAAGACATGCTGGTAGGTTAATTGGCTCCTGTCTAAATTGGCACTAGTATGTGTATGTAAAGGGAAGCTTGAATTGTGAGTTAGGGACCTTGGATTGTACACCCCTGAGGGTT